CTGAAGTCCAAATCATTCATGTAAATCTGCTTGGTTGGATGCCTAGCACAGTGAGGAAAGGAAGTCGAGTACACTGAGCAAGCAGGAGACCCACCTTTTGAGTTTCATGCCACAGCCCACTCGAGTTGGGGCAGCCTGTTTGGAACTGCAGTGGGATCTTGGGATGATGTTGGGGGGGAAAACCTGTCTTGTAAGAGTTTCAGGCAAGCAAAAAAAGTTAATTTCCCTGGAATCCAGTAATTTTTATGTCGGTTCCACTGGCATAAATCCAGGGAAACTGCTGAGTCCAGTGACTGTTTCTTTGGACTTAGGCTGTTGTGACTAATTCCTCCAGAAGACAATGGAGTGTCTTCAGTTTTACACCTATATAAGCGGGAGCAGAATCTGACCCTAAGAAATGTAATCTAGAAGCACATTTCTTTAACAATGATGCAGATTGGGTGTCAGCCTGACACTGGCCTGTTTGGGAAAGCTGCTTAACCAAAGCAGCCAGAAAATGTCATGATTGGGAGTGTGCTGACTCGATTAGTGCAGGCCAGACAAAGTGGAATTATGGTAGGCTTTAGTAGCATCTCTGACTTCCTGGGATATGACAGGTGCCACTAGATTGGGTCTATAATAACAGTTCAGTAACTCTGGTGAACCGTGAGACTGTGAGAAGTAGTCCACAGCAGATCCATAGGTTGCCCTTCCAATTAAAAGTTTCATGCTAACGGCTTATGGCTTAAAAATGTTGAGGGTTGCCAGTGGTCTGTTGGCCCAAAACATTTAGGAACTGGTGACCTGTAACATTTTGGGATTAAATAAATCTGGATGGCCAAAGTTGCTTGAAAGGAGTGGTGGTGGTACATGTTTGAGGTTGGTGTCTGAGCTATGCCAGCCCTGGAGAGTGCCTTCCTCTCCTGCAGACAGCATGTGGTGTAAGCACTGCGGAGCAAGTTTTCCATGGTATTGCTGTGGCAAAACACCTCAAATTTGACCTGGACTGGGAGGGAGAGTTCAGTCTCTCCAGACAGTCTACGTGACTTCCCACCAACCCTAGGACTGCTCCCAGCAGAATAAGCCCTGTCCATTGCTTTCACAATTAAGCAGAGAGCTAGACAATGGCCCCAGAGGCTGAAACATGCCAACCCTCAGCATGTCTCAGCCGTGTGGGGCTACTCCTCAACCATCTACTCCATCAGATTGCTGGTTCCTGATATCCCCAAGCAGAGTCAGGTGGGCAAAACTTGTTTTGCCGGTCATAGCTTCAGGATTGGGAGGGTGGCTAAGGAGACTTGCCCTCTATCAGTTTTGTCTTAGCCTACCAAATGGGGATGTACTCACAGCTAGACATGTCTCAGGAAGCCATTTACCATGCCTACCCAGGTGACCAGACCAGTCCTTCTCCTTAATGAGCTCACATCTGCGTGCAGTCTGATTGGGAGAGATCCTTTCTCAAGGGATTCCCTCTCTCCATGCTCTAGAAACCCCCTTCTAGAGCAGTTGGGTTTGCTTAACCTAGAACGAGAAGTCTGAGGTAAGAGGCAAAAGCCATCTTCCAGCCTGCAGAAGGTTATCATAAAGAGGATTGCTTGTTCTCCAGTTCACAGCAAAGACCAGAAGAAATCAGTTTAAATTGCAACAGCAAAGAAGACCTAGGTTAGGTATTAGAAACACCTTTCCAACTCCAGGAATTTAAGAGCGAGACGATCTATATAGGGAGGTTGCAAAATCCCCATCACTGGTGGTCTTTAAGAGCAGGTTAGATCAGGGGTGGGCAAAACGCAGCCCACGGGCTGCATGTGGCCCACCAGGCTATTCTATCTGGCCTGCGGGGCTCCTAAAAAAAATTTAGAAAATGAATATATATCTGCCCCTGGCTGCCTGTCATGGTGCCCTTGATAGCATGCCAAAACTCAGTAAGTGGCCCTCCGCCTGAAATAATTGCCTGCCCCCCGGGTTAGACAGATCTCTGTCAGGGCGGGGTCTAGGTATGCATTGTCCTGCTTCAGCTCAGGAGGTTTGAGATCCTGGTCCTTTTCCAGCCTAACATGTCTTTGTTTATGATTGTGCTTTGCTGCTGATGCTTGGTGTCCGTATTGAAATGTGGGCTTTGTGTCGGTCCCCTAGATTCTAATTTAGCAGAGCATGTAAGCACGTGCTTAAGTGCTTGTTGAAAAGGGATGGATTGCTGGGACCTAGAGAGATTAAGTCGATAATAATACTGTGGTAGCACTAGTATTAGCAAGCAGCACTGGAAGGATGAGTTGTTTAAAATCTCAAAGATCTAATAGAAGAGTCTGCTGTGGCCATTTCTAATATTTCAGTATATTGGGTTTAGATTTAACAATGCTGCATTGCACCACAGGTTGACCTCGAGTGGTTTTTCTTCTATTGTGTTACAGCAGACTTTTTTTTTTTTCTGTTGTGCATGGTAAACTGTTACAGCTTCTAATGGGTTTGCAATTCGCAGCTGGTTTAAAAAAAAAAAAAAAAAAAAAAGGAAAAATGACTGTATAATGGAGTTTCCTGTCATGGCCTTGTAGGGCTGGATGTCTGCAAGCCTTTATGTCTGACCCAAAATGTCATGTTTTTAAAGCCGTACTTCATTATCATGGCGCCTGCTAGCTGTAGTTAAAGGGCTGTTAGCTGTCCCATTATAAATCCCTACTTCCAGGAGTTCATAATTCAGCAGTAAAAAATTGCTCTAGGCTGAAACTTGGCATCTGAGGTCTCTGCTCAAGAACAATGGTGATTTTATTTATTTATCTATGTACTTTTTAAACATACACACAGACAATCCATTTGGTAGATTTTTATTGTCCCTTTTTGGCATTAAAAAAAAATTAAATGGCTAAATTATGAACATTTCAGTCCCAACTGCTTGTGTAAATACATGGGAAATGGATTGAGGTCTGAACCTGAAAAGTCTGAGTGGGTAAGCTGCGAAGGGGAGGTGAGAATCCAGGACATGCTCATGTCAGCCTGGACTTAGTGAAGGAGGTGTGGATGGACCTGGGTGCTCCCCTTGGAGCTGGTCCCCCCAGGGTGCCTGCCCTGGGATACAGTCCAACAGGACACAGGTGAGAATCCAGAGTGAGTTGCAAACAAAACTGAAACATCAGGGGTCATCCTTTGGATGGAATGAATTTTCTTATCCTTTCTCAGCACCTGTATTGGGTAAACACGGGTTGGGAATGAGAGAGAAGGGTGAGTCTGAGAGATGCAACAATATGCAATTCTCAGCATGCAAATAAGGTGGTTAGTTATTAGTACTCTGTTTTGCATGCACTTACCACTGAAGGTTGTCCCCATGAGCAGGAATTTCTATGCTTCATGGGTAGAGTTGGTCAACCTTTTCAAGTGGAAATATTTTCCATCAGAATAGGCTGATTCAGTACATTTCAGAATGGTATCCCTGACTACTTAAGTAGAACATGTCTAATTAAAATGAAATGTCATGGTGAAACATAAAGTGATTTGTTTCGTGTTTTTGACACATTTGGGCTGTCTTTGTCTTTTTTAATTTCTCTTTTCATAAGTTCATTTCATATGACAAAACTTTATAGATGTTAAATATATCATTAAAGTATTGGAAAAAAATATTTGAGTTTTTTATCAAAATGAAGCATATTGTTTGAGCTGATCCTCCCCTTTTTTATGGGGAATTCCAAATGTTAATATTTGTCTTCCAAATGGGAACAGAACAAAATTTCAAAAACCCAATCTCCTGTGACGCAGTCATGGCTGTTCCCTCGCAGTTCTATCCATGAGGCTCTGTATGATGAGCTTTATTGGTACTGTGCATGGCTGCATTTTCAGAATGAGCACCAACTCTTTTGATGCTAACCGTCAGAGCACGACCAATTTGACAGCAAAACAATAGTGCCCCAACACTGAGTTACCCTATGCTCACTTTCATCCTTTTTTCCCTTGTAGTTAGTTTTAGATGGACAGTATTCCACATATGATCAAGTCCATTGGGTGTATTCTGTATGCTTGCACCATAGTGTTACAAGACATTTGGTTCATCATTACTATAAACTAGTGAAACGAGTCATAAAAACTGGAAGTCAGCAAGGGTTCTCCCCAAGGGCTATTTTAAAGTTAATAGAAGGGGCCAAAAATACCAACCCCAGCCTAAGGGCTATATTGCATGTTAAACTTCAGGTGTGTTAACCACTTAAAACATGAGCGTCAGAAATTCAACCAGTAAAATGTGCAAAGTGCAATCCATATTGTAGCAAAGTGAGGACTTTTCAGGGGAAGAATATTTCCTAATTGTAGTATGTTATTATCTGACTGCTCCATGGGGATAATACCAGCACAGCTTGCTGGTTGTCAGCTCCAACCCCGGCACTGCCCTGGGGTCTTGAACGGTCTGGGACTAGCAATCAGCTCTGGTGTAGTGCCAGTGATAGGACTGACAATCTGCTGATTGTCAGCCCCAGGCCTTACACTACATGGGGGTTTCACACCATGTCTCATGTTATGCTTAGAGATTATAGTAAGCAGTACCTACCTACATTTTCTACTCAGAAAATGTTAATATGGCATGGTAATGCGATCAAAAAACATGCTAAGTTTCCTGTGCAACAGTGCCCCAAGGTTCAGTCTAGTCCTATGTTCTTATGCATGGAGTCTCGTCTTACCCAAATGTCATCTTCTATCTCTGCCTTCCAAAAGCCTAAACATCTGGATATGGGAAGAGACTGAGACTTGAGTGAAGTGTTTCCTGTACCTACCTTGAGCAAGCAATTACCCCCTGCCTCTGGCACATGGAGAGGGCCAGGTCTCCATCACTGTAAATCAGGATATAGCCACTGAAGTCAGTGGAACTACATTGAGTAATACGTAGAGCTGGCCTTATTTTTATCACTACTTTTTTTTTTTAACCACTAACAAGATGCTCTAAAAAAAAAAAAAAAAAAAGTATTCCATATACTATGTGCTATTAATATAAAGGGTGTTTTGCAGTGTTCTGAGAATAATTTATACTTTTCTTTCTTCCTGCTTAGCATGGCACATATATTCAAGACACTCGAGAGCTGGTTCTGGTGGGAAACCATGTGGATGCCTGCCAATGTCACATGGGCAGATTTTGAAGACTGTGATGGCTATGTCTTTCCAAAGCCACATCAGTTATATGCTATTCTACCCTTCACGCTTGTTTTGCTGATTATCCGATTCTTCATTGAAAAGTAAGAGCCCTAACAACTATGAAACTGTATGCATGTAATTTTACTTTTGTTTCCTCCCCTCAACTTTCAAGCTATTAGCAAGCTACAATGTGTCTAGACACGCATGTAAATGATTTCATAATGATAGTTTAGCTGATCAGATGCCAGAGTGGGATAGTTTAGGTAACACAGCAGTTGATACTAGTGGAATGAATACACGGGGATGTAGTTGCTAGTGAAATCTAGGGCACCTACCCTGCTCCACTACAGCTCCATGGACAGACCAACTTACAAGGGAGGGATCCCTGTAGGTCAGGGGCGAGCAATTATTTTGGGTGGAGGGACGCATACCCAGTTTTGGCAGGCTGTCAAGGGCTGCCTGGGTAGCCCCGCCCCTTGACAGGTGCCCTGCCCCCTGGTCACCATCTTGGTACCAATGTCTCAGGGCCAATACAGGTGGGGCCCAAAGCAGGGCACAGGCTGGCAAGGGTCTGTGGAGCCAGGCTGGGCTGCACCAGCAGGGAGAGGGGGAGCTGGCCAAGCTCCATAGAGCCCCTGCTGGCGAGGACCCTATATTCCTGCT